AAAAAAAAAAAAAAAAAGGAAGAAAATGAAAAGACAAGCCACGGATGGGGAGAAAATATCTGTAAAAACTAGATTTGATAAAGAACTATTATCCAAAACATATAAAGAACTCTTAAAATTCAACAGCAAGAAAACAACCCAATTGAAAAATGAGTCAAATACCTGAAACAGACACTTCACCAGAAGTATACAGATGACAAATGAGCACACGAAAAGATTTCCACATTTCATTAGGGAAATGCAAATTAAAATGAGATACCACTACACACCTATTAGAATGGCCAACATCCAGAACACTGACCGCACCCAGTGCTGGTGAGGATGTGCAGTAACAGGAACTCTCATTCACCAAGGGTGAGAATACAAAATGATACATCCATTTTGGAACAGTTTAATAGTTTCTTACAACTAAACACACTTTACCATACAATCCAGTAATCACACTACTTAGCATTTACCCAAAGAAAGAGAAAACATATTAACACAAAAATCTGCACATGGATGTTTATAGCAGCTTTACTCATAATTGCCAAAACTTGGAAGTCCTTCAGTAGATGACTGGATAAATAAATGTTATTCAGCATTTAAAAAAAAAAAAGCCGGGCATGGTGACTCACGCCTGTAATCTCAGCACTTTGGGAAGCCGAGGTGGGCGGATCATGAGGTCAGGAGTTCAAGACAAGCCTGGCCAAGATGGTGAAACCCCATCTCTACTAAAAATACAAAAATTAGCAGGGCGCAGTGGCAGGTGCCTGTAATCCCAGCTACTCAGGAGGCTGAGGCAGGAGAATCGCTTGAACCTGGGGGCCAGAGGATGCAGTGAGCTGAGATTGCGCCACTGCACTCCAGCCTGGGGGAGAGGGTGAGACTCCGTCTCAAAAAAAGTAAATAAAAAATAAGCTATCAAACCATGAAAAAACAAGGAGAAAAATGCATATTATTAAAAGTCAAAATGAAAAAGTTACATATTTTATGTTTCCGACTACATGACTTCCTAGAAAAGGCAAAACTATGGAGACAGAAAAAGATCAGTGGTTGCCAGAAGTTAGTGGGGAGGGAGGAAGGATAGAAAGGGCATAGAGAATTTCTTGGAAGTGAAACTACTCTGTACAATTCTCGAATGGTAGACACCTGCCATTATACATTTGTCCAAACCTACAGAACATACACCACCAAGAATGAATCCTAATGTAAACTATAGCCTTTGTGTGTTAATGATGTACCAAATGCACGTTCATAAGCTGTAACAAACATACCACTCTGGCACGAGATACTGATAGTGGGGAAGGCTGTTCCCATGGGAGGGACAGAGGAAATATGGGCACCCTCCGTATTTTCTGCTCAATTTTGCTGTTAACCTAAAACTGCTCTTAAAAGTCTGTTTTTTAAAAAACAACAAATTATGACAATGGAAAACTGATCAGTAGTTGCCAGGGGCTAGGGTTATGGGGAAGATGTAAGCATAAAGATGTAGCGTGAGAGTTTCTTTGGGAATGATAAAACATTTCTGTATCCTGGCCGGGCACGGTGGCTCACACCTGTAATCCCAGCATGTTCGGACATGGAGGCAGGCGGATCACCTGAGATCAGGAGTTCGAGACCAGCCTGACCAACTTGGAGTGAACCCGTCTCTACTAGAAATCCCAGCTACTCGGGAGGCTGAGGCAGGAGAATCGCTTGAACCTGGGAGGCGGAGGTTGCAGCGAGCCGAGATCACGCCATTGCACTCCAGTCTGGGCAACAAGAGCAAAACTTCATCTCAAAAACAAACAAACAAACAAACAAACAAAAAACCAGTTCTGTATCCTGATTGTAATGGTGGTTACATGACTCTATACATGTAATGAAACGTTACAGAACGATTATATCCCTGCTTAAAAAAAAAAAAAAATGCATGTTAAATCTTACATTTAACCAAAACTGGTTAAATCTAAATAAGATCTGTAATGGAGTTAATAACTGTACCAATGTCAATTTCCTATATATGATCACTGTATTATCATTATATAAGATGTTATCCTTGGAAGAATCTGAGAGAGGGAAACATGGAACTCTTCTGTACTACTTTTGCAGCTTCTATGTGAATCTAAAATTATTTTTTCGAAATGAAGTATTTTTAAAAGTCAAGCACAGAACTATGAAGTGTGCTCAGCAGATGTACTGGACAGCTGTAGCTACTATGCAGTGGCCCAAAAGATACTGCAGACCAGCCATCTCAGCTATGGATTCTAAACTACTACTCCATCAGTTATAGAACTCAAAGAATGGAAAGACAGTACTATACACCAGCCCCTGGGTCTTCTCTATGGTCAGCAAGATCCCCAAGTGTCCAGGCCAATAATCCAGTAGCACTACCATACATACGTAGGACTTGAGTCCTCAAACTTGATGCTTCTGACGCCCCCAGTGCTACCTCACAGTCCACAAAAGTGAGATTCCTTGAGAACCTTGCAGGTTTTCTGACTAAAAATACACTGAGGACACTGCTGCCTTTCTCCTATTAGTGTTCCATTTTACAGCGTGGTAGCTAGGAGATGTCCTGAGTTGGTAATCCGTACTACACTGTATCCCCCTAACTCAGACAAACATTGTTATCTTAAAATCTTCAGTGAGGTTCTGAAGGAGGCTTAAAGACAGATAGGAGCTTCATTTATCCAAAGGATGAAAATGCTTAATATACAAACACCCAGGGGAAAGGAGATCACTTTTGAAATACCAAAGAGATAGTTTACAGAGCTACAAATAAATCCAAAAAAGCTACTCTTGGCCACTTGTATTACTTTTCCCAGTCTTTTTACAGAGAAAGGAACCCAAATTTGGTTATTGGGAGGGTGGGCCTGGACCAGGATGTGCTGATTTGGGAATGGCCCACAGGTCCTGTGCAAGGGTACTTCTGAACACTCACCTGCCCCTGCATGTTCATGATGACCACCGTGTTTGATCTGTTGCACACCACAAAGTGCTCAGGGTTTTTAGGAAGTAGAATCACACTGTTGACGGTAATATCTGTCCCCGCGGTGCTGCCCAGGGATTTAAAGGTATTTGAACATTCTGTGGTCTTCATATTCCAGATCTACCACACAAAAATTTAAGTTACAAACCTTTTTTTAGATACAAAAATGTCTAAAGTTTTAGGGTTTAAAACATTAACAGGTTACTAAAAAAGAGTAGAAATGACTCAGGGGAAAAAAGTTTCTTACTTGATTTTAGGTCCAATCAAATATCCAGCACTGCCATATACAGTTGCCCCTCAGTATCTGTGGGCGAATTGTTTCCAGGATCCCCTTTAGATACCAAAATCCAAGGATACTCAAGTCCCATATATAAAATGATGTGGTATTTGCATATAACCCATGCACATCCTCCTGTATGCTTTAAATCATCTCTAGATTACTTATAACACCTAATACAATGCCCACACAGCACTTCCTTTGTATGGATTCAATGTAGTACTTGGCATGGGGCAGATTTAAGTTTTGCTTTTTAGAACTTTGTGGAATTTTCTTTTTTTCCCCCAAATATTTTCAATTGGTGATTGGCTGAATCCATGTTCCAGATACAGAGGACCAACTGTATAGAGTAAGTATTCATCATGTATTTGTTGATGAATTGGCAAAAACAACAGTCACAAACTAAAATTTAAAAACTTTAAAAAAACTATGATCTTTTCTAATACCTTTTTCCTTAGCCAATAGAGCTCTCTCTCTCTTTAAAATTAGTTGTTTGTCAACATTGCTACTGTCATAAACAACCAGAAAGCTACCCTTGTCTGGATATCAAAACCAAATAGGGGGTCAGGCATGTTGGCTCACGCCTGTAATTTCAGCACTGTGGGAAGCCAAGGCATATGGATCACTTGAGGCCAGGAGTTCAAGACCAGCCTAGGCAATATAGTGGGATCTTATCTCTATTTAAAATAATTAAAATAAAACACACAAAAAAAACAAAAACAGGGGCTTTTCTTTTTTTAAAATGAGATGAGATCTCGCTATTTTGCCCTACTGTCCCCGCTGGCGTTAAACTCCTGGGTTCAAGCGATTCTGTCACTTCAACCTCCTGAGTATGGGACTACAGGCAGGTGCCACTGAGCCTGGCTCAAATAGAGGCTTTTTAGCTTGAGACTCTATCCTGAGATTTTGATGTGGTAGGTCTAGGGTGAGGCACAGGCATTTTTTTTAAAGCTACAAATGATTCCAATGTACAGTTTATACTGACAATGACTGAATAGAAGTCACAATGTTAGCACACACACATGAGGAACTTTGAAGTGGAAGCTACTCTTGGCCACTTGTATTACTTCTCCCAGTCTATCTTTTCACCTTGTCCTTCTGGGCTCTTATGAACTGAAAGGGTTAAATCAGGTAGCACAGAAATCTGAGATGTGCTTAGAGAAGGGACGGACCAAACATTAAATAGCATTGTCCAGATACCACTCAATTCACCAGGCACAAAGTCTCTAAGGCATGGACTCTGCTGTGTTTCCTCTGTGCCTTCCACGGAGCTTGGCACAAAGCAGATGTTGAATAAATACTCATAAACAGGAGAAAACAGTTGCCCTGGTGTCAATACCGTTATCGCCTGCCCTAATCTCCTCTGAAGCCCAGATGCTTAGAAGAAAAAATGAACATTTCAGGAATTAAGAATGCTAAGGCTTCCAGTGTTTTCCATTCAAAAGGTCAGTAACATGCTTTGCCCCACTCACTGCAAAACTAAGGGGGAAAGACCACAAAATAAAGAAGCTTAGACAAGCCATCTACCAGTGGCATTTACAAGTTGTGAGGCCCATATGCATAGCATGAGAGCAAATCCCATGACTGAAGTACTAACAGCTTTGCATGATTTCTCCACTCATCCCAAGGGAGCATACATCTCCTGCCTTCCGGTTTCTGGTTCAATTTCCAATCATGAACAGCATTTTCAGACGGTGGTCTGACATACATATGTACATACATACATATATATACACATACATTTATTGAGACAGGTTCTTGCTCTCTTGCCCAAGCTGAAGTACAGTGGTGTGAAAATTGCTCAATGCAGCCTCAAACTCCTGGGTTCAAGTGATTCTTTCACCTGAGCCTCCTAAGTAGCTAGGACTACAGGTGTATGCCACCACACCTGACTGTCTGAATTTTAGATACTTAAATATGTATCTAAAATGTCTAGATATATATGTTAAAATGTTTTGTTAAAATGTCTAGATCTTCTGCCACAAAGTACTCACTCATATAAGGCAATTCAAAAAGATTAGGTCCAAAACGTAGAGTGTCTCAAAGATCTCTAATAATTTTCTATTTGGGTTTCTCATATCTTTTCTAGGAAATGAGACCCTCTCTAAAAATAACTAAATCTTTAAAGGTACTGAAGATCCATTACTTTCAGCAAATTACTTACTAAATAACTATCTAGGAGAAGGCTTAGTTTTACTCAACACTTCTCCTATTCCTCTATAAATGCTACTAGGAAGGCTCTACATTTGGGGACCAGGAATGCAGCGAGGCTGTGCAACAAAAAAAGAGATCTATTTATTAGGCCACTGAGCCTTTCGTGAATTTGACTGTTAGCAGGTAGACCATACCTATGGCAAAACAGATTTAACCACCGTGTGTATCTGTGAATGGGGGATGGCTTAACTTTAGGACTCTTCACCCTTCCTCTTTTCCTACACATGAGAAAGTTCGTTTGGATTGAAAAAGTTTGAGATTGGAGTCCCAAGGCCAGTGGGAATTACCCACAGAATACTGTTGTTGTCTCAGACTCACCTCAATTATGGCTAAAATAGCCAGTAAAGAGGTTTACTACAGCACAATCATTCCCATTATCACCACTGAAAACTCCTCAAAGGACAAAGATGGGGTAGACATCCCAAAATAAACCGAAAGCAAATACTTAACCTTTACAGTGCCATCAGAGGATGCACTAATAATGTAATGTCCATCTTGTGTAAATGTTGCTTCGTTAACAAAGGAGGAATGGCCACGAAATTCCTTCAGTGTTTTCCCAGATTTTAAACCATGAATTCTACCAAATGAAAGTAAATGAAAAGAACAATAAATATTTAATATCTTATGGTTGTGACCAATGATTGAATGCATTTTAGATAAATTACAGAAGCTCATGTTATAATATTAAGAGGGCTATGTGATTGTGTACATGGTATAATTTTCATTATATCAAACAATCAAACAAAAGTTTTGCAAAGAAAGAGGCTGGAAGAAAACATGCCAATACCACCACAAGCTTCTGTTCAGGGATAGACCTCTAAAAAACAGGTTAACAGAAGACTGAGATCAGTGGGTCTCAGCTGAGTCCCAGTATAACAGACCCTCTAAAGTGATTATGATACAGATAGGTCCATAGGACCATATTCTGAGAAACATGAATCACTGCTACTCCCTTTCAAATCTCTCCTCTGGGTAAAGACACAAATGGACAAAACAACAACACTGTGTGAGTTGTACTTTGGGGACATAAGGTCTCACATACCTTCCCTCTCCGTATCACACCATCATGGTAAAAGCATAAGGAATCACTAGTACCTCCCTCCAGGGCCTCATTATATCAGACTCAAGTGAGAACAGTTTTGGGATTTTTACTTACCTAATTGTCTGGTCAAAAGAAGCACTAAGGATCTGACTGCTATCCTTAGAGAAGCTTAGACAGGTGACACCCTTACTGTGTGCCCTCTCAAATCTCCTTAAACACTGTCCACTCTGAATCTTCCATACCTTTATTTGAAAAAAAAAGAATTTAAAAAAAACTTGTAAAGTGTCCTACTATAGCCCATAGAGCCAAGTAAGATGCAATGCTCACTAATGTACTGAAACAGCATTAAAAATGCATGCTAATAGCTGAATATGATGTGTCTGGTTCACGTAGTACAATGGTAACTGAATCCTTTGAAACTTAAAACTCTTTTCATGTAAATTATTAAAACAAAAATATAGACTGTAACTTCACTTAGCAGAGACCATTTCTGCAATTTTTGTAGCCCAGGAT